CGCCGCGCACGGTCGGGCGGCCTCCCCGGCGCCGCGGCCCGGGAGACGCGGGGAGAAGGCTTTTCAAGCGGGCTCGGCGCTGCTGCCTGCGGAGTCGGGGCGCTTCCGAGCCCGTCCGTCCCGAGATTGCCCGGGGTCCCAGCCAAGTGTTAGCCTGCAAACCTGACCTCTCCCGGGGAGTTCGTTAACTTTCCTTAAAAGCTGGCAACGACGTAAAAACTGATGATCAGGTGAAAGCGGCGATTGCTTTTCTTGATTTCCCAGCGTCTCTCTCCGTCTCTCTACGGCTGGCTGCGTCTGCCAGTCTATCCGTCTCTCGTCGTGCTATTTATGCGGCAGCCCCTATGTACTCGGTATATTTTCCATTCTCAAAACACCACTCCCCTTCCTCTTGACTGTAAAGGCTATTTAGCCCAGATTGGTCTGGAATTCACCACCCTCCGGTCTCAGCCTCCCCGAGTGTTGGAATTTACAGTCGTCCTTACTATTAAAATTTGCCCGATTCCCAGCACAAACTAGCGGCTCCTAGGTTGAAGGAAAGACCGTCTCCCTCCCAGACTAGTTTATGCTGAGGTGTGCTTTTCGTATTTTGCCTGAGCTTTTGCTTTCTGAATCTTTCTACCCAATTGCATGAAAATCCCACTGATGATGCTCTATCAAGGTCGGACCTCTTAATTAGAAATGCATCTGGCAGTTTTGCTAAGGCTATTAGTGTGTAGATTCATTGGACACATGCTAACAGTTTGAATCGCTCCATTCTTCTCTTGGGATATTTTAAGGATGGAGGCTATTAACTTTCTAATGTAGTTTTGCTGATCCTGGCAATCTGGATTTCTCCAGGAATTAGAGCATTGCTTTCTGGTTTAACAAGCATTTTTAGAGGCCTACAACGGATAGTTACTACCTGATGTCCAGAGAAACTATAGCAGTAACTTTTTTCCATAGCAAGTATTAATATTTTGCTCAAGTAATATTCCCAATATAATGTTTAGCAGAGTGCTGTGTGCACAGTAGGCACTCAGTAAATACGCAAATTATGAATTAAATTTGAGTTCTGGTAGCCAAGATGTAATTGACTGTAGTCAATGTGTCCTGCTTTACAAGAACTTGAAATCCAATCACTGATGGCTTACACCTGGCTACTAAAGAGGCTGGGATCCAGAGAATCGTGGTTCAGGGCCAACTTGAGCAGAAAGTCTGAGACTCAATCTCAGAAATAACAAGCAAAAAGCCAGCCTTGCATTAATCATGAATACTGTAGAACAAACAGTATGAAACTATGTGTGAGTGTTTTTCCCTCTTAACTTTTTAAGGTTTGGAAATGGCTATGTATTACAAGTCCAAACCTTGACTTGGTAGCTTTGGTCAATTATCTTAAACTTTCTTTAGATCAGGAAAATTAAAGTAATGCATAATGTATATTTACTTCTTGAGAACACCTGTAATAAAAAGAAATATATTTTAGTATGTGTTCCAATGAAGCATATTGATTATTATTATTAATCTATTTTTTGTCGGTCGTGGGGCTTGAACTGTGGGCCTGGGCATTGTCCCTGAGCCCTTTTGTTCAAAACCAGTGCTCTACCAGTTTGAGCCACAACTTACTTCTGGCTTTTGAGTGGTTAGTTGGAGATAAGAGTCTAAGGGGACTTTTCTGCCTGGGCTAGCTTCCAACTGTGATCCTCAGATCTCAGCCTCTTGAGTAACTAGGATTACAGATGTGTGTCACCAGTGCCTTTCTGATTTCAGTATATTAAGAAAGAATTTAGGACCTAAAATTTTCTTGGTTACCTGTAATTATATATTGATTGTCTGCTGTGTGCCAGAATTGCTGTAATTTGCAAGAGCAGTAGTTGAGAGTAAGACCAATAAGGTCTTGGTGCTCAAATAACTGCAGCTTTTTTTTTTTGGCTGGTCTTGGGGCTTTTGAACTCAAGGCCTAGGTACTGTCCCTGAGACTTTTTGTGCTCAAGGGTAGTGCTTTACTGCTTGAGCCACAGCACTGCTTCTGACTTTTTCTAAGTAGTTTATTGGAGATAAGAGTCTCATGGACTTTTCTGCCCAGGCTGGCTTAGAACTGTGATCCTTAGATATCAGCCTCCTGAGTAGCTATGATTACAGGTGTGAGCCACTGGTGATTGGCTAACTTTAGCTTTTTAATTTGCAGTTTGAGATGGTTTCCAGTTAAGTGTCCTGGACTAAGAAACAGGCTAAGTGAAAAAATATTGAATATTAAGCTCTTGAATGATCTGGTTGGGCCAATGTGCCTTGAGTTTTCAGAGATTGGTAGAGTAGATGGGAGGTAGGGCCCATTGTGAAGATAATCTTAGTTTGCTAATGGGTTATGGATTTTCTTTTAGGGGGAAAAATTCAGGTGGAATAAACTCACCTCCTATTTCAGTCATCTAAGTGCTGGGATTATAGGCCTGTGCCACCATATCCAGCTTCCCAAATCTTTTTTTTTTGGTCCCATTGTGGGGCCTGAACTCTGGGCCTGGGCGCTGTCCCTCAGCTCTTCAGCTCAAGGCTAGTGCTCTACCACTTGAGCTACAGCGCAACTTCCGGCTTTTTTCTTTTTGCTTATGTGGTGCTGAGTAATCAAACCCAGGGCCTCATGCATGCAAGGCAAGTGCTCTACTACTGAGCCACCTTCCCAGCCCAGGTCTGTGGAATGTTGAGGTTTAATTTCTAGTTAGGTCAAGGAAGCAGTGTTTAAGGTTGAAAGCTTTCTTCTGTAATAAAGGATTCAGTAGGAGGTGAGAGGAGAGGATCTGTAAGTAGATTCATGAAGCAGCAAAGAGATTGTAGTTTGGATTAATTTCTTTTTTTTTTTTTTGTCAGCCTTGGGCCTGAACTCTGGGCCTGGGCGCTGTCCCTCAGCTCTTCAGCTCAAGGCTAGTGCTCTATCACTTGAGCCACAGCGCCACTTCCGGCTTTTTTCTTTTTGCTTATGTGGTGCTGAGGAATCGAACCCAGGGCCTCATGCATGCAAGGCAAGTGCTCTACCACTGAGCCACCTTCCCAGCCCCCCCAATCTTTTTTAGCCTTGATCAATTGTATCTGCTGTCCTTATTCTTTCAGAACCTTTATTATTGAACCTAAGGGAAAGAAGCACTGCTTCTTGTGTGGGCAGCTTTTCTCAGAAGAGTGGGAATGATGTTCAGTCATTTTCACACTCAGCCTACAAAGCCTTGTGGTAAAAAGGAAGGAGCAAGGTAAAACTAAAAGGTTTGTTGATTGTCCTTTTTTTTTTTTCTTTCTTTCTTTTTTTTTTTTTGTCGGTTTTGGGGCTTGAACTCTGGGCTTGTCCCTGCGCTCTTCAGCTCAAGGCCAGTGCACTTGAGCCACAGTGCCACTTCCGGTTTTCTAGTGGTTTATTGGAGATAAGAATCTCACAGACTTTCCTTCCCAGGCTGGCTTTGAACCGAGATCCTCAGATCTCAGCTTCCTGAGTAGCTAGGATTACAGGCGTGAGCCACCTGTGCCTGGCTTGTCCTTATTTTCTTTTATGTCCTTAACATGCCCTGAGTGGAAACATGTATGTATTATACAGATTTATTGGAATATATTAGTAGCAGAGAGAATACTGTCATTTAAAAATACTTTAAAATACCCAAGTGACTCAGTAAAATAAGTGACTCAGATGTAATTGGATGTCTTATTCAGGATTTGTGGCTTTAACTTACATGTTTTAAGTTTTGTTTCTATCCTCTTTTGTGTCTTTATTCAAAATAAGGACCCTCCTCTTTGTACAGAGTATCACTTAATAGTAGGAAGACTGTATAAGTCCCTAAGTTATTAACTTGGTTTTATTTAATATTGAATCTAGCTGGATTTCTTTTGGATTTCCTAGTTAAGTGACAATTAATCAAAAATAGAAATCTTATCAGCAGACCCTATTTTGTTTGCACATGGGGTGTATTTATACCTGGTTAAATTAAAAATCCACTTACTAAG